GCATTCCTGTATCTGGTGGCTGCTCTTTTAGGCAGAGAAGTAAGAATTTCAGTTTAGGTTTTGATCTTACTTATCAGCCACCTTGCAATTTCTGTAAAAGAAATGAAGAGGTTTTATAAACACTGGTATAAAGTGAGAGCACTGTATGAGAATGCAGATACTGTATGCATTTAGGAGTGTTTCTTTTTGACCATGCAGTCAGAGAACATGGGTACAGAAGAAGTCACAGATGGAGAAACCTTGGGGCCATTCACTTTGCAGGATCGGACTTTCTGCCTTTCCTGTCTCTTGGTTCTTGTCCTAACACTGTAGGGTCTTCTCAGAAGTAGCAGGCTGTTGTCTCTGTGTGTTGAACTGACTGTTGCTTGTACATGGAGATGCCAAGCATGGTGATGGTTTTGCACTTGTCCTGTTTTGCAGAAGGCATGAGCTGTATGAATAAGGATCATGGCTGTGCCCACATCTGCAGAGAAACACCCAAAGGAGGAGTTGCCTGTGAATGCCGACCAGGATTTGAACTGTCCAAGAACCAGAGGAGCTGCATTTGTATGCAACGTTCTGCATATGCTTATGGTTTCCCAAAATGAACACGTAGTGTTCTGTTTGCAGTGATATGGGATTTGGTATGTTACAGCTAAATTGGGGCGACACGCCTAAATTACGTGCATCTGCATTAAAGTAGAATCAGTGGCTTTGCTGGACACTATCACGGCAGTTGCTACAGCATCTGTAGTTTGGGAGTTTCACCATCATTTGTATTAACCAGCAGTTCAGCTCCACAAGAGTTCTGCAGTGTTTCACAGGGTTCTTCAGGAAAGGGGCATGTTAGGAAGGTCTATTGGATGATCAAATGATGACAGAATTGCACACTGTCATTCGAAGATGCTGGAAGAACTTATGAGATGTAACATGTATTTTCTTCCTAGTAACATGTAATCATGGAAATGGTGGCTGTCAACATACATGTGATGATGCTGATAATGGGCCTATTTGTGGATGTCACCCCAAGTACATCATGCATGTGGATGGGAAAACCTGCCAGGGTCAGTATATAGGGGAGGAATGTGGTTTTCTGTTGATGACTAACTCTGCAGTGGTGTGGCATTGCTGTGTGTGCATGATCAACGCTCCTCATAATAGTATGCCTAGAAAATGTCAAGGAATCCAAAACTAAGAAACCTGCTAGTGCATGAGTGAGTTGCTTGGATCCAGGCAACTTGTGCTTCCCTATGTAAGTAGCTACTTCATACTACTGCAGGCTGTAATTATCACTGGTCCCTCCAAAGCACAATGCCTGTCACTAACCAAAGAAGATTCCCTTCCCTCTAGGATACTTTAGGTTCAATTTCTTGTATAGTATGAGCCAGAATGTAACCAAGCAGTACGTCTGTTAAAACCAGAGCTCTGGATTCAATTAAAATACAGATTTTGCAAGGCAGTTATCCAGTAAAGAAAGCACTTAAGATTTATTGTCTGTTGACTGAAATCAAATGCTCAGGCATAACTGGCTAGTCCTTGTATTAGTCCGTGATAGATGATGATAGTGTCCTCATAACCAGACAGTTCATGATAGATGATGATAGTGTCCTCATAACCAGACAGTTCATGACAGTTCAATTAGTTCTTTCATCTTGCTGCTGTTCACTACATCCATAGCACATTTTCTGTTTTTTTAAGAATACTAAAGCAAACAGGAGTTGTACGGAAGCAATAAAAGCAAAATGTTCTTATGGTCTTAACTGAAGGGTCTTCATGATATGCATTATTGCTTCCTTTTTTAAGAAGAATATATTTCTGTCTAGTCAGTTCCGACAGTTTTTGATAATTCAGCACATGATGTGGCTGTTTCATGTACATATTACATATCAGATGAGGCTTCTGGTCAGGGCACCTTTAATAATTTTCTTTTTTCATGTTACAGAGAGGGAAGAGGCTACTGTTGAAATTTCTGAGGGAAACACCACAGCAGGAGCTGATGTGGACAAGAGGGTGAAACGACGGTTGCTTATGGGTAAAAGTGCTTATCTTAAAATAATTTTGCTGTTTGATGAAACCTTTCAGATTGAAGAATTGTTTGTTTTTTTTTTATTGTAACCCTCATCACTCTGGGCTGAATTCTGCCTGAGATGCTTCACTCCCTTTTAAGGAAATATTATTACATAATGTATAAGAAGCTATGTACATTGTTTGTGACAGTCAGTAGGAGGTGTCAGGAACTTGCCCTCGAAGTAGTGTATGTTTCTAAGGTTGTAATTCATCATGGGAATGCAATACAATCCCTGCTGTGCTACAGTTTTAGCCAAGTGATTGTGGAGGCAGCAATGGTTTATCTGCTTCTTTTCAATTTTAAGTGTATTTCTACATAGAAGAGAAGTGAGCCCAGTGATGGATTGCATCTAGAAGGACATGTTAGGATACAAGGCCATCTTATTCTTCCTAGAGATGTTTCCATCTGGCCCAGAATGCCAGCCTCGAAGGGTCTGTCACTACTGAGAAGACATTGGCATGAGAAACAATGACTGTGGTCTCAGGGCAGCTTGGGTCAGTGGATGTCCACCTCCCAAAAACCCTTATTCCAGGTGCTCAGGGAGACTTGCAGCGCTTATTGGCAGTTGTCACAGAAGTGACATGGGGTCTTCAGAAGAAACTGTCAGATCTATAGGGCTAGTTCTGATCTTGCAAATTCATATTTAGATATCATTTCATTGTCTCATTTAAAAAAAAAAAGCATTATCTGTGGAAAAGGCACTCTGTCTTCACATGGAGGTTGGACATAGCCTCCCGATATTGAATGTGAGATGAGAGACTGGGAGGGAATGAATCAGAAAAGGTCTCAAAACTTGTCAATAATTATGCTTGGTGCTGCAGAAATCTTTGTAGTCAGAGCTAGAAAGAGAGAATTTCAAAAAGCAGACATAGGAAATGATCTTTGCAGCTCTCTAAATCAATATGTGCTAGATAAAATTGCACTTGTCCAGCCCATGAAAAGGCTGTTAGACTGAGTGAAGTAGTTAGACCAACTGCAAGAAGATAAATGGTAAAGAGTGTTATTTTCTCTGTAGCTGGATGTAAAGAACTGCATTTAGGGACTTTGCTAGAAAGGTTTAGTAAAATTTAGAAATAGTTTGCATAGGGGGAGGGAGCATTAGGTTGAGATGGCACCTGGGTTACAAGCCTGAAGGAATACTCAGTGTGGGTGTAATCCACTGTGACTAGGAGTGCAGGCAGAATGTGAAGTTGTGGTGGGAGGGATTTATAAAAACTGGTTTAGTAGTGCTGAGTGTAATAAGATGTCTGAGCATTGGTGGGAAGTATCAGAGGATCAGCCAGGATTGAGGGTGGGCATAGCAAGACAGACTGACAGGAACAGGCTCATCATTGAGGAGTGGGTATTTGTGTTTACAGATGAGAATATTCATAGACAACATCTTAGTTTGTTGAGTCTCCACAAAAAAATCAGGCATAGCTGAGGCAGGGATTTTGCCAACACTTGTATTTAGTAGTAGTTTGTGTATACTAGACTAAATGTGGATGAATAGCAGTGTGCTTGGCACTGTGCATTGTATCGTGATGTTTCTTGTTACCATTATAATATCCCTGAGCAAACTTCAGCTTTATCCTGTTGGCCAGAAACGTGTGCAGTCAATAATGGTGGCTGTGATCGTACGTGTAAAGATACATCCACTGGGGTTCACTGCAGTTGTCCTGTTGGATTCACACTCCAGTTTGATGGGAAGACATGTAAAGGTGAGTGTTATATGCATGGACATGTGTGTACCAACACCTATTTATTTCCACATGAAGTTAGTCCAGTGTCTAGAGGAACACAAATATGTCCAGCCCAACCTGAGAAAGGACTGTAGCCAGGGGTAGACACACAGCTTCCATCACATCAGGTGCATCATGTGCAGGAGACCTTTTGCTGCTCTGCCATCCCTCTCACCACTTCCACTCCTCCTGCCAAGAAGGCCTCATTTCTCACCGGTGAGGTTTGGTAGGAGATAATGCAGGTCTGTGGTAAAGTGGAGGTCAGTACTGGGAGAGGTAGGTGTGTGGGTTCTCACAGGCCTGCAGTCCCATCCTTGGCAGATTTACCCACTGTCAGCTGGCTATCAGGGCAGTTTGTAAGTAAACATCAGTGTGTAAGCCGGAATGTTTGAGTAGAATTACTTACACGGGTCCAGGCAACTCTAAGAGAGAGTACTTGAAAGGATCAAAGGGCCGTTTAGGTTGTATACCAGAATACATTTTCCTGTCATTAGGTGGTAAAACTGTTCTGCAAGGCAAGATAAATAATGGAATCTCCGTGCCTGAATCAATTAATATTAAACAAAGAGCTCATTCTAATATTGGCATGAAAAGGACAAGATAGCTTGAGAAGGTGCTGTCTGAGATTTCTGCAGGGCTTAGGAAGAGGAATTAGGGAGAATGTTTAGAAAAGGTACAACCTGTTAGACAGCATTTAAGTCAAAGTGTTTCCAAACAAGAGCTTAGGGAAATAATCTGTTGTGAATACATGTACAGAAATGTAACTGAGAGCAATATGTTAAATGAAAGCAAGTAACACTGTCATGGAGATGAATGGGCCAGATCATTCCTAAGAGCTGGATCTGATCCTCCTTAAAATTTGTAGTAGTCTCACTGGATTTTGTTTCTGGCCTTCTCTAACCAGTTGGACATGACTGTTTTCTGGATATGGCAGTGGAAGAATGTTGAATGTACTGTGTTTATTTGGTGAAGCACTTTTTTTTTTGTTACAGATATTGATGAATGCCAGTCCAATAATGGAGGCTGTGATCATTTCTGTAAAAACACTGTTGGTAGTTTTGATTGCAGCTGCAGAAAAGGATTTAAATTATTAACAGATGAGAAGTCATGTCAAGGTATGTGCACTGGAGAAGCAATAGAAATAGAACAAATCAGTGTGGCTTGCACATTTACAATGATGAAGTGATAATGGGCTCCAGAAAAATTTCCATACCTCAGTTTTGGTTTCTTTTTTTTTTTTTTCTTTCTGAAACAGCTGTTGAGTTAATACAGTTGACTTGATACTGTTGTTGGAGGTATGTTTAATGGCACAGTGAACTATTATGTAGAAGCAACAGTGACAACATCATATTCAAAAGCTCTTTATGAGGATAATGCTCCTCCCTTCTAATAATAATCTGAAAATAATTTACAGGGAAAAATAGTATCTCTTTGTCCATCTTACTGACTAGTTCACCATTGCAGTGACATTATTTTTTCTTAATAGGACATTTAGATGCCATGAGTTCATTATTTAAAGAAAAACACATGATGTATGAAATTTTAAGCCTGTAGACAGACTGGAATCACTATTCCCTAAAGCATCATAGAGCATTTGATTTTTATGATGACATGGATTCCTCCTGTGAGACTTAAAAAGCATGTTTGCTTTTCTGTAGAAAGATTTGTACATATAGAGTTAGAAATCCTGTTTAAGCTGCTTAAATACATTAAAATGTAAAGATCAAAATGGTTTGTGGTTTTGGAAAAGCTGCAGTATGGAACAATGTAAAGCAAATCAGCCAGTTGAGAAGGTAAATAATTCCATTTCCTAGACAACCAGCTGACATTAACAATGAATTTCAGAAATCTCAACTGACCAACAGAAAATTGTTTTCACCTGGATTTTTGGTGCATTCATACTCTAAAGCAAAGACAGACAGCTATTTATATGAACAAACACTATAAAAACGTAAGATTTTCAGCATAGTTTGTGTTTGGTTTTTTTTTTTTAATGGAATCTATTTATGAATGTATTTTAAAGATCTGTCTCCCTTTTGTCCCTGTTGCTTCTTTTACTTTGCCTAGACTGTTTCAAAAGTGGTATCTTGAAGCATCCTAAAGCCCAAGAAAATGAATGATGTAATGTGTCAGTGATGTTGATGTGAACTTTTTTATATCCTGCAGCAGTCTTACATGGCACCTCTTAATATACTAGCACAGAGGTTTTAGGTGGTTTTGATGGTATAATAAACATTCAGGGCCTCAGAAAGTGATGGGAGTGTTACCATTCAACTCACTGAGATCATGATTAGGCTATTAACTAACTATGCTTTACAAAGATGTGTGCAAAGTGATTTTAATGCCAAGGAGAACTTTCACTGGAGGAAATGGATATTTCAGCAGCTCTTAGAGACAGACGTTGAAGTCTCAATATACAGTGCAATGGATCCATGAAAAAATGGACTGAATTACTACTACGCCTTCAGGTGTATCTTGGAGAACATGGTGGTTTTCAGCAGACTTAAATCAGGCACTGCATATTCATATGGAGCTAAAAATATGGCCTTTGACTTATAGGGAAAAACCAAGGCAATACTTTCTTTTGTAACTCTTATCTCTGCAGACCTTATGTGGACTTTTGTTAATGAAATACGAGTTCTGTCAATTTTTTTCTCCCACAAAGAAAATAATTTATTTTAAACATAATTGTTAAAAACACAGTTTTTGTGTTTGTCAAGAAAACATTTGTTTGGCAAACTAATTGTTCTTTTAAAAGTTGTCATTTAATTTTGTTACATTATTTGCTCAAAGTTTACACAAGTATGCACGTTTCTGTGTCCAACTTTGTTAGGTCATCAGTGTTCCCTTGTCAGGCTGAAAGATACTGATGTATCCCTTTAAAACTTGCAGACATTGATGAATGCTCTTTTGAACGGACGTGCGACCACACGTGCATCAATCATCCAGGCACCTTTGAGTGCACTTGTCACAAAGGCTACGCTCTCTATGGCTTCACGCATTGTGGAGGTGAGTTAGAAAAGACTCTACAGGCCACGCTGATAGGGTGCTGTTGCCACAGGTCTAATTAGTATCTGTGCAAGACACAAACCTATGTATGAGCAGTAGGTATATAGAGTAAATTTTACTCTTTGCCATGATAAGGAGACACAGCAAAAGCAGAAAGTAATCCTACTCATTTCTGTCTGCTCAAATGATTTTCCCTTCCCACCTTGCATACAGAAAGCACCTGTGACTTTTAAAATAAACTGATGCATTTTGCACCTGCAAGTCATAATTTGATAGAATTTGCACATGCAGAAGTCTCATTGACTTCAATGAAAAGTCAGTGAAATAGGACTTAAAGAACAGGAAGCTCTGGATGAGTACAAAAATTATGGTTGTGCTGGTGCATATGTGAGATCCCCAGATGAAGTAAATTGGAATTTAGTTGATACAGTACCACTGATTTACATTGGCCAAGATTAATACTCTTAAGTCTTTTATGTTTTTCCTATAAGAAAAGTTCAAGGAAAGACGAAGATGTTCATAGAATCACAGTGTGTGTCAGGTGTGAATGTTTCTGTGATGAATTCCCAGAATTATATGAAGAAGCATGAATAACTGGATACTAAATGGAATTAAACTTGTTTTATATAAGCTCTAGGCAAGACTTTACTGACTCCATGTGCTTACTTAATTCTGAGTAAGACCTATTTACTTCAGAGGCAAAAAGAGCACACTTGAACTTGGAGATAATTCAGAGATGTCTGTGCACCTGATCTGTTCTAACCTCTGCCTCTAGGAAGTCTGCAAAGAAAATTACAGGGCTACAACATCATGGTGTTTTATCCTGATGAACACAGAATCCTGTCTGCATGGGAAGTAACACTGTTCATGTGTTCTATTTGCTAGAAGAAGTCTGTTCTCATGAATTCGTCTGCATTAATTTCTTTTGTTTAGGCCACCAATAAGGGACAGTAACTGTAATTTTGCTATTGGCTGTTAATTGGCCTCTTCATATCATACTCCTGTGCAGAAGATGTTAATCCTTGCGCCATAGTAAGTCCTTAATTTTCTGGCAATCACAGGCTGTGTCAAAGCTGGTGGGGATACTGAGTATACACCTTCTGACCTATACGGAAGTCAGTCAGTGCTGGAAGATAATAGGCTGCCATTGCATACATCATTCTAACAAAAGGTCAATGAATACCAAAGATGTGGGCCAATTTTGTGGTATCTTAGGCAGCAATTTAAGGTGTTCCCTTCTTTGTCCATTATTCCTCCCCTACTCCTTCTTACCCATGTGGTCTCCATTGTGTTAAGTAGCATGTTTTTCCCCTCAAATCAGCTCAGTTTTGTAACCTGCTTCTCAGTGTTCTCTAGCAAACAGTTACCTAGAGGGGGGAGCAAATGGCTGGGGAGAGCAGTGACAAGAACTTGTTATTGGCATTGAGAAAACTGTATGTAGAAGTGAGTACCCTCAGCTGAACAGCGTTTCTGGGACTTAGAAGAGATTTCTTGATGTCAGCTTTCTAGCTTTGTGTATAATTGCCGTAAAGCTACTGAAGACAAGTGAAGCAGTCATCAAGGTGCATCTGAGAAGCAGAGACACAGAACTGTGCATTTCCCGTTGTTGAAATTCATGAGATTCTTGTTGGCCCTCTGAATAGTGGCACAACCATCTGGTGTATCAGCCACTCCTCCCAGTTTTGTATCATCTGTGAACTTGCTGAGGGTGAACTCTTGTCCAATCATCTAGGTTTAATGAAGAGGATGAATAGTATTGACCCCTGGGTTGCACCACTGGTGAATGGTATATTCAGCATCAGTGTGCAGGTTTGCACCAAAAGCAGTATGTTGTGTTGTCATTTTTTTCTCCTCCTATTGGCATTTATTGGGTTGGGCAAGGCCCTGAAATTGGATAATTGAGCAAAAGGGACAATGGTGATACAAAGGTGTTATTTGCCAACATGGAGTCAAATAGTGTTTCACATTGGCTGTGTCTTATCTGTGCACTTTGGAGGATTGATCAGTATGAATCCTGCCCATGTTCACAGAATCACAGAATGTTAGGGGTTGGAAGGGACCTCCAGAGCTCGTTGAGTCCAACCCCCCTGCCAGAGCAGGACCATCTAGTCTAGGGCAGGTCACACAGGAACCCATCCAGTCGGGTCTTAAAAGTCTCCAGGGTAGGAGACTCCACAACCTCCCTGGGGAACCAGTTCCAGTGCTCTGTAACCCTTACAGTAAAGAAGTTCTTCCTCATGTTGAGGTGGAACTTCTTGTGCTCCAGCTTGTGCCCATTGCCCCGTGTCCTATCGCAGGGCATAAGTGAGAAGAGGTTGCCCCTTCCTTCCTGACACCCAGCCCACATATATTTATACACATTAATTAGATCCCCCCTAAGTCTTCTCTTCTCCAGACTAAAAAGCCCCAGGTCTCTCAGCCTCTCCTCACAGGGCAGGTGCTCCAGTCCTCCAATCATCCTCATAACCCTTCACTGGACTCTCTCAAGTAGCTCTCTGTCCCTGTCTTTATTCCAAATTAGAAATATTAATTAACCAGCCAGTGCAATGCAGACTTGATTTGGTGGTCTTTTCTTTGAATGAATTTGTGGTGACATTGCTGAGGCTGGATATTGTAATTGTGTGGTTTATGGACATACCTAACATCTTCCCTCTCATAACATTCTATCAATTTTGACATTTATCAAAGGATTTCCATGTAAACATCTATTTCGAGCTGGGTGTCTAGACAGCATTTCTGTAATCTTTTCCAAACTCTACTAAGCACTGTGTGTACATGCTTACATAAGAGTTAAAGAGTAACTTCTTAGAAGTATTTTTACTTTTCCTCTGTAGATATTAATGAATGTAGCGTCAACAATGGTGGTTGTCAACAGCTGTGTGTGAACACGTTGGGAGACTATGAATGCCTGTGTCACTCCAGCTACAAATTACACTGGAATAAGAAGGATTGTGTTGGTAAGGGGCCTACTAAATAGACTTCTACTCCTGATGTGTCTAATGGCCATGTGGTTAGAGTCAAATCTGAAAATCTTGATCTCTCCAGTTAAGTAGCATGAGTCATCATTCCCAGTATCCTGCTTTACTTTTTAGGGAGGCATGATAGTACTGATGTTGAAACTAGTAAAAACAACCAAACCCCTCACCAAAACAGGAGATACTTTGAGGGATTTTCATGCTTTTTTTCCTGTGCTTTTATCTAGCTCACTCTTCTATTTCTTTTTGTTTCTCTGCATGAAAAGGTTTGCTGATGATAGCCTTACCTGAAAGGAAATTACTGATGTCGTGTGATCTTCCAGTGATTTTATTTTGTTTTGATTTTTTTGTCTAAGTAGTGTATTAATTGCATGTGTGCTCTCAGGTACCAGCTACAAAAGCAGCTGCATGGCAGTTTATGAGTAGAGCGTATGTAGATGTTTTACCTGTGTGAGTATTTGTTTTATCCTATGTAGAAACAAAAGGTCCCTTGCCTGATATGTCACCCAAGGTATTGCTGCACTGCATTAAGAGTGGTGGGAGTGATAGATGCTTTTTAAGCTGCTCTTCAGATGTCCAGGTATTTTCTGGTAAGTTTAAAAAAAACCGAACCAAACCAAAAAAACCCCAACAAGCTAACAAGCATATGATTCTCTAGAGAGTGTAAGAGTAGCAAACCTCTGAACTCTCAGGGAAGTCCCAAGAAGTAGACAATCAACAGGGACCTTTCCTCTTTCACTACAGATAATAAAGGGCTATATCCCTGCCCGTGTCCCAGGAAAGCCCCCCTTTCCTTGTCTTTTATAGCGACTTTACCCTCAGAATCCCTTCTCATGACAACTGTCTGTCTGAAGCTGGGGAGGAGAGGGCAGAATTCTCTGTGCTCCCTGGGCCATTCCTTAATTGGCCCTGAGAGCTGCTGCTGAATGGGGCGAAGGCATTCCAGCCCTGCGTGGGGTCTGAGGCTTTGCCTGCCCAGCGCCCACGCCCCGTGGGACACAGCACGTGGGCTCGGCTGGCACCCGTGGGACAGGTGCTGCTTTTCTTCCTGAATCCTTTAGTTGACTTAGGAAGAGAGAGGCTCTAATGTAGAGTACTTAGGAACAACATTGTTGAAAAAAGGGGAAGGTGATGTTGCCGATCAACAAATTTAAAAATGCCTTGGATACTACTGGAGCCTTCAGTCTGTGCACAGTGCCTGTATCTTTACTGTCTGTCTGTCTGGTCTGTCTGCTAGGAACACAAGATGCCTACACCCTCACCTGTGGCAGGTCATCTCAGCTTAAGAAAAAGCAGCAAAATACAAATGCCTCCAGCTGGCTGGGTAATCACTAGATCTACTGTTGCATTATTTGACTGATTAACAGATAACTGTGGAATAAAGGTGTTTCTGTTGACTTTCTATTTTCCCCTCTCCATTATAGTTCATCTGTTTTTTCTTCCTCATCACTGCAGTTCATGATTGCAGCAGGAAATTCCACTTGTACCGCTTCATCAGCATCACTCAAACTAAGACTTAAAAATAAGGAAAGAGGAAAAGATCAGTAATGAAATAAGTAGGCCAGGAGTGTCAGGACTCTTTTTAGACATCCAAACTGGATGGTGTTGGCAACCTACAGTATGTGTAGTTTGAGCTGTTGGACAGTAAAGTTTAAAAAGCATTTAAAGCTAAACAGATAAGAGGTGTTATTTTAAAAAGACATAAACTACTTTTGGAACTGAATTGGAATCTCTTTTTTTATTTCAGCTAATCTTTTTTTGATTTACCCAATAGCAGATCTGGACTTGATCTCGTTAAGTTTTTTATTTTTTTAAAAAATAAAATCCATCACAAGACTTTGTTCCAATTCCAGTTGTGAAGCAGGAGGAAGCTGATATCTCTTGGTTTTCTGTGATGACTGCTTTTACACTTTGTCAGCATATTTTTGATGTCATCACTATATTGCAACATTAGGGTTATTTAAGTTTTCTGTTTCTTTTTTACAATAACATGTCATTGTTTCTTCCTGAAGATACTTCGGCCATCAAGATAAGCGTAACCTTTAAATTAAATGAAGGAAAATGTAGTTTGAAAAAGACTGAGATGTTTCAAGATGTTCTGGAAGAGATGATGCCAGGTATGAATATAAAAATGCAGGTGAGCAGGTCAGAGCCATAGCTCAGGGGTTAATTGCTTTCCTAATATTAAGTATATTTTAAGCAAAGCATAGAGGACTGCAAATTTTCTGCTTTTCACGGACCTCATGTATCGCACTCCTTCCCAGGTTTGATTCTCACAATAGTTATTTCAGATCACAGGACTTCCCTGTGACAACCTTACAGTCTTGCTAGGAAGGCCCTTCTCCATTTTGTTTGTACCTCTACCAATAACTTCTCAGTAAAATCAACCATTCTTTTAATTATTTTGTTTTCTTCCTTTACTTTTTTATCTCTCTCTCCCTTCTTTCTGTTATTTCCTTTCTCACCTGCTCCATACTGTCTGATGCCTCAGTGAAGAGTCTCCCAGGCTTTTTATGCTGACTATATTGCCAAAGGGTTATTCCTCTTTTCTCTTGTCTTCCTTTTATACTTCATCAGCCGCAGATGGATCATGTCATCCATCTGTGCCAAGGCACAAAGTATAGCCTGGGAATTTAGAAAGTCAGCAGAAAATGAGGAGGAGTACATTTAAAAAAAAAAAAATAGAGCTGGGGGAAGAAGTCACTAAACAATATGATGAATCAACCTGTCAGTCTGTCCTTATGAACAGTAACTGAGAAACTGCACTAGATGCTTAGTGAAGAGTTCTATACTCCAGAACCAAAGCTTATTCTGAGTGTTCTCTTTAACTAAAGCTTACTTCCTCATTAAAGTCATGAAAATAGTCTCCAAATGTCCTGTGTTTGCAGCCACTACTTAATTTAAACACCATTTTAAGATAACATGTTTTTCACATGCTTCATATAAGTAAAAAAACTTTCCCTCGAGTAGCCTCTGCTGGAGGCAGTGTTGTGGTTTTGAGACTCTTTGCACAGTACAAAGGCAGTTCATTAGAACCTGCTAGCAAAACCCAGGGGAAGCTGCCTGAGCTCTCATCCTAGGAGTGAATCGTGCCTCAGATCTGCTGCAGTGCCAGAGTCTCGGCCTGACAACACATCTGTAAGAGCACTGGAGTCATGACTCTATGTGAGGATGTACCAGTAATGGAACTGGCCAAACTGTGTGCTGGCATGTGGGGTTGTTCCTCTTTAACACTTCATGACCGCATATGCGCTGAGCACTAACGAATGTTCAGTAACAGAGCTGGCCAAGCTTTTGCTTCCTTATATTTTGTTCATACAGAGACACATAATTCAGTAATGGAAAGCTTCCACTATGTAAACCTAACGTGCAGCTCTGGCAAGAAAGTTCATGGAGCCCTCAGTAGACTGACAGCGACTAGAGAAATTTTTATCACTGCGGACTTTGAGCTTGAAACAAGCCGAAAGGAGGTGACAGGTTGGTTGGAAAATAATCCAAGGTGCGGTTTGAAGCTTCTTGCCATTTGCTCCTTAATTTCTGTATTTTTCATTTCTATCTATATGCAGAGTGATAATAAAAAGTATCTCCTGTTTTGAAAATGAATTTTACTACTTCAAAAAGAGTGTGGATAGGGGGATATTTTCAAAGATCTTTTCAAAGAACTACCCATAGATTGAAGTCTTGTGGTCTGATTAAATTTCTTCTAGCCTGGTGGTGTTGTCCTTAAAGATTTCAGACTTGTTCACAGAAGACGCTTTCTCAGTGATTTGCACTGGCTGCTCTTCTGAATTGGGTGGATTTTTGTGCATGGTCACTTATAGCAGCTTTCACCCTTGATACTTCTCAGACACGTGTGATGTGCGCTGTGCTCGGAAGAAGACTGAGAAGAGGTTCCGTAAAACCATCCGAACGTTGCGGAGGACAGTCAGCAGGGACCAGTTCCGCCTTCGTGTCTCGGGCGTGGACCATGAAGTGGCCAGAAAGTCTCTCAAGCTACCAGAGCCGCAGCAGCCTTGTGTAGGACAGATGCATGGAGGCAACAGATGTGGTAAGTAAATGTAAATTAGGAACAAATCATCACGTGTTTTACTGTTTTCGTCGGGTCTGGGAGCTTGAGGGGATCATGAGATGCTCATCCAGGAGAGAGGAGGGCTGTGTGTAAAGAAGTAGGGATTACTGTCTGTGCTGCTGGGGTGCACCCCTCTAAGTGTTCTTGGCAACTGCTGTGTTACAGAGCAGATTAAGGACTTGGTGCATTGCACGTTATTAGAGCTGATGCACAGCCTACATAAGCTCAAAGGCAGAAAACATGGGAGTGATAATCAGGTACCAGTGGCCTTGATATCACCAGTGTTTTAAGACTACATTTTATATTCACTATAACATTGTGTTTCTGAATTTGTGAGCAGTTTATCTCTCCCTTGTTCCAAAGAAAAAGTTGAGCAGAATTTGATACAGTCATGTTCTCATTGCTGACTAAGCCATGAGTCCCCAAGAGTCTTCATGACAGAATTAAATATTCATGGAGAATAGGCCAATAATGAGAAAAATCTTAATTATCACGGCACTGGAGGGCACCACCATAATGCAGTCCATAATAAATGCTTCCAAAGCACAAAAGTTGAGGAGAGGGGTCAGATGTTATCTTAACAGGGGCCTAACAACCATGACAGCTAATTCAGGCTGTATAGAGTAGGCAGCATGTAGGTGGTTTTGTGAATAAGCAAACCTTTAAAATCCTTGTCAGATCAAATGAGTATGTCTTCCAGCAGCAACCCACTTGGCCTCCGAATAGGTTTTTCCAATCTAGTTTTACTAACTCTGGAAAAACTCGGGTTCATAAAGTACATAAATGAGCCCATAAAATAAAAATAAAATATAAATAAATAAATAAATAAAAATTACCATAAATGAATTGCTGTTGTTCAAAACATCTGTGTAAGCAAGCAGACTAGGGAATTACTCAGGAATTCTGAGAGGAAAAAGTTGTTAAGTGTGGTTTTTTGTTTGTTTTGATTTGGGGTTTTTTTGTAACACAAGTCTGAAAAACTTTCACCAAAACAAGTTTACAGGGATGTTCTCAAGCTGTTGTGTTGAATACTGGTAGAGAGCTCTGGAAGAACTGTCTCAGTCCATTGCACAGGGCACAGTATGGCCATTTGTGATTTCATCTGAAAAAAGTAGCAATGAGTAAGCTGAAACTACTGCAGGTAGAGAAGGCAACATGACTTACAACTAGGAATTAGAACAACAAAACCCTTTTTTTTTTTTTTTTCCCCCTAGGTAGCTGCAGAACCTGTTTAATTTCCCCTTACAAATAAGAAGCTTACATGCATTTCTGTCCTAGTTCAGAGAGAAAAGGGGCTTTTAAGGAATGCCTGGAAAACTCTTTGGTGTGGTGGGGACTGTCTGTGGTTAAAACAGACATACTGAGCATATGAAGACCAATGTTTCAAGGACCAACTTGTAAAAGTCAAGCCTCTCCTGTTGCTGAATTGGTGCCACAGTTTGCTCTGAGCATCTAAACTGCCATGAGCCGTGGAGCTATTAAGATATGATTCCTTGTGGGTCTCATGCCTTATGGTTTGATTTGCTCATGCCTGTAAAAGTGCAATCTCTAAATGAATCTTCCTTTCTTCAGCTGAATTATTCAGACACTATTATTGTGTAGATTTGCTGTGATCAAATAGAAGATGAAAGTTGCACTACAGCCATTCACTTGCATGGATCCTAACAAGGTCTCTCTCTTCCACTTGTGTGTTCCCCAGTTATCACATTAAACATGAATCTTTGAAACCCCTCTGCATCCTTTGTCAGATTGCTGGCAGTCAGACCGAAAGTTCACTAGTTGCTGAGGGGGCGTAAAAGTGCCCGCAGAGGCAGTGCAGTTACACACGCCTCATTTCCCTGGAAAAAGGTGATTGTCCCAGTGGGCACGGGGAGGGCGGCTGTGCTGCGACCGCCGGGCAGACGGCGCTGAGAAACGGGCTGGGGAGAAGGGAGTGGGGCGGGGACAGTGCGGCAGAGGAGGAGGCTGACTAAGGGGGCGGTGGGAGAGCCGGGGTGGGGTCGGGTTGGGTGTGTTCTCGTGTTGCAGAGCTGCTGAGAACTCCAGGACAGGCTGGGGGCTCTGCTTACCTAGACATGCTAATGATTCTCGGCAGAAAGTGACCCAGTAGCAAGAGATACCAAGTCAGCAGGTGGATTCAGTGCAGGTGGTGGATGTGGTCTGTGGACAGGCAGGGTACTTTGGCAAAGGGATTTTGCTCAGACTGACCAGAGGAGCAAGAAGCAGAGAGGGAACAAAGTCAGTATGAGTCTTCTGTGATGTGCATAGTGAGTAAAGTGCAGGTTTCAGCTCATTGTTTTCAAATATGTTTTTTAAAACCAAATACCTGTGGTATGGCTAAGTTAGATACAGTTTTATTGATTCAGGTGGTCTTGTACTGGTCCTCTTCCTGTGGGAGACTTCTCCTGGCACAGCACTGTCTGAAACATTAGTTGTTTCTTCAGAGAGAAAGTGCAGCTCCTGCTCTGACACCTTTTGTCTTGGATATCTAGCCTGAAGTTGCAGCAGTAAGCGAAACTTGGCTTGGTTACACACTTTTCCCGGGGTAGTACTTCTCCTGGTTTTCCCATCTTATCTCATACTGCCTGCAGTGGGGCACAGCGCAAAATAAAATCTCCAGAAAGGCACCAGGAACAGATTGGATGTGATTTCCAGGGTTTCTCATCACTCTGAATACACTGAATTGTTACACATGTATGTCTGCTGTTCTTTAAACAACTGGTGATGGTAGAAGGGAATTCAGTGCTGATTCTGAGGGGTAGCATATTTTATTTCTAGTTAGCTGTTTAACATACAGCTCTGTTTGGGATTTTCTGATGCTTTAGAGGTTCAAATCCTGCATTTGTCTACTTTGTAATGTGCAAGTTCTTTATCAGTAAGCATATTTAGCATTGGCTCACATGGATTTATTCCATTAAGTCCTCTGAATGGCTTCCAAGGAGCAACCAGCAGTTGGGTACTACTGTATATCACAGGAAATGCATATAGCAAAGTGGAGCCTTCATCAACCTTCCCAGAGAACTGGATTCTCATAGCAGGAGGGTGATCTTTCCACACTGAAGGAAATTTTATGGTAAACCTCATGCATATTTGAATGAACCATTCAGCTGAGGATGCTGGAATTGCTGCGTGTGTCTTCAGGAGAAGATTTGTCTTGGGGAGAAAGCAGTTTCATTCGCTAACCTGGCTACAAGTATCTGGTCTTTAGTATGAGCGATATTTCTGGTACTTTTTGTTGGATACCCAAGTATTTTAAGAGATGTAAGGAGGCAATGAAAAGTACCGTTCCCTGAAATCGCTGCATAAAAGGACCTGTGAGCATGTCCAGTAGCTGCAAGTGGAGACATCCAAAGAGCTGTCACTTCAGAGAACAGCAAACATGAGCAGCACTGCTATAGGCACTGCCCTGATGTAGATGCTGAGCAGCTTTATTGTGTGTGGGAGGTGCTGACGCATTTCATTGCTCAGCATTCAGCAGTTTTGTCCCCTTAGCTTAGAGGACACAAATACAATACGAACATTTCCTACAAAATGATGAACCACATCTCGAAGTTTAGATAATGTATCATCCTGACGTTACAAAGTATGGGAGAGACTGAAAGAGAAAAGCAAAGCGCTGCCTGGCTTTGCAGTTTTTACAATTAATAGTTGTTACACAACAGAGATATGTATGTTGTAGTAATAAAAAATAAATTATAAAAATCTGACAAGAAGGAAGGAATTATCAAATGGAGATAGTGTGCTGCTTTTCTGCTAACCTGCTTGATCTCACAGTCATAGATTTAAGACATAAATCCTTAGGATGCCTGTTGTGTGACCTCAATATGTGAACCGCTAAAACACAATAACTTAAAGGGTGCTGCTTCAGAATCGATTTGCATCAGTTGTTAGCCATTTTCCTTATGGAGTCAAGGCATCCTTCTTAAGAAAATGGTGAATTGGTGGCTCATGACCTCCTTTATGAGGTTCACCTTCTCAGCCACTGAGATACTACAGCATTTGTCTATAGGGGCAAATGCTCAAAGGCTCTTCCCCTCTTTTCAACAAGTTAGCCTTTAAATGTCTTTGTAACTGTTAATCCTGGTTCCCTGTGGGCCCCTCTCTTTCTCCCCCCCCCCCTTCTTGCTTTTGCATCAGAAAAGCTTTCACTTTTTTTTTTTTTCCTCCTTTAAAACAGCTGCATGAGACTCAAGACCAGGTTTTTAATGGGTATTGAAGACAAACAAAAGACAGTGGCTGCAGAAATGGAAGTCTACTAAAGGCAATTGGTTCTTTTGTTCATTTGGAGAAAAACAATCAGGTTTCTGAAAAAAGAGCAAAGCTAGCCAGTGGAATTCTGGTTTAATGCTATTATTTGCAAATCTTCAGATCTTGTTTTGACTGGCTTATTTTCCATACATCAGGTGGGACCATGCAGTTTTGTGAAGTGAAGCTTGTAAACTTTTTTGGTTTCTTTTAAACAAATTACAGGAAAAGTTTGAACTCTTAGAGGTGTTTCTTGGTTGTTTTTGTTTGTTTGTTTGTTTGTTTGTTTTTTGTGTTTTGTTTTGTTTTTATTTATTTTTTTTTTTTTTAGAGAGGGTTCATTTAGGTCATCCTTGTTTCATGTACAGTCCTATGGACTTCCATGGGTTGATTTCTGTGTTGACGTATCATATTCCTACAATTAAACCTAGCACCAAGTCTGTCTGTTAGACTAAATTGGACCCTGGTGAGTGCTGGGAGCTTCTAAACAGGCTTTTCTCATTACCTCTGTGCTCCAGTGGGGTTGGATGAGTGACCTGTGTTTGGAACATTTCTAGGTGGAAGATGAAGAACTGGGAGCAGTTTGCCAGGAATGTATTTGTGGATCAAATTGTCTGAACACTTGTACCACTTTGAAAAGCTTGGTTTGATAGAGTCACATGAAGAAACTTATATATTTCGGAGCCTGAGGCATTAAAGCTTGGGCATCACTTGGAGTAATTTTAATATTTGCGTTGAATAATAAGTATTCTTTAGACTGTAAGTAGCTAAATCTATCTGGATTAACCTCTTTTCTCATATGCATGTAGGATCTATTAAGGCTTGAAGTACTTGGTGCATCTCAACAGTCTTAGTAGGGGAAAGACAGGGTTATGCATTTTTATAGGCAGCACAATATTTAAAACTTAATTTTCCCAGTCTCTGTATTTTAAATGCTTTATAAATGTAACCCAGAGTTGCTTGTTTTTTTCAATCTCCTTGAGCACAGGCACTTAACACCCTTGAGAATAAGGCTGGTTATTGCACATGATAACATCAGATCTGTGGATGTCAGATAGTGGAGTGCCCTCATAGGCCTGTCCATCTAGCCCTGGTCTTTCCAGTTCCAGGAGGCATACCACATACACTGCTTCATAAACCAGTGACCTCCATTGCAAAAGCAACTAGCATTCACCATGCACGTTCTGTCTTGGAAGACCACTTCACATTCTGGGGCTCTGATAATGATGTGAAGTGATTTCTGAGCAAAGGGTGGCCAGATAGGGTGGTGGTGTCCTGTGAACCCAAACCCTGTGGACAAACAGAACAAGCCCATTACTTGTCCAGCTGGACTCCTCTGTTAGCCTGGTTTGTCTCCAGCAAGATGCCATTGCCCAAACAGGTATTTTCTAGCAGTAGCTGGTGTTGAAAGGGATGGGTAATCATTGCATGACTTTCTGTCCATATTGGGCCAACCTGTACTGTCCTCTCACTTGATCCTTTTCTCTCTCCAAGCTACTTCACAACTGTAACCACCACACTGTACACAGCTTTTTTTCAGCTGGTTTTGCACACCCTGTTACAGTGCTGGTAGCTAGTTGGACTTTACATTTTTCTTTCTGTTGTTGCTACCTTTTAGGAAAATCAAAAGTAAATACTTGATCGGTTCAGATGAAATAGAAAAGTTTTGTGGAATCCAGGTGGATTTTACACAGTTCCGGCCTTCACCACCTCAGCCCTGTGTTTGTTCTGTGGGCTGAAACAAAACGTGAACCTTCTTTCAGTATGCAGAAAGTGTCAAACTGCAGCAGTCCTGACAGCTGATAAGCTCTAATACTTGTGTAAACGTAGTCTTTGTATCACCTTACACTTCATCCAGTGGTCTAGCTGCTGACCACCTAATTTGGCTTTGAACCCACAGACACTGAATGTTAGTGACCTGGTATCTTCTTTTCTTGTTGCTGGTTAGCTGAAGTGTGGGAACAAACTATAATGGGGAATGAGAAAATTGTGGTTTATGTCCTAATAAAACTTAACAGCATGAGGAAGGATAAATAAGTTGTGACTCTCACCCCAGTTCTCAGAATCCTGGGAACTAAAAATTATCTGGAGCTCATAGTGTCTATCATTATGGAGGTAAGGCACAGAAACAGACCATCTGATGCTTGTGCCCTGTCTTTCTCTTGCTCTCAGAATTCAGTCATGCAGTACATCTTAGAATGCCCCATGCTGACAATCTCAGTGATGCCTGAGGAGATCTTTTTAAGTTTACTTGCTCAATGCAAATTTTCAAAAATTAGTCCCTTAATCTAAGTCTTCCAGGATTATTTAGCAAACTCAGTGTTATTCCACGGGGAACTTTACAATTTTACAACATGCAGCTTTAAGGCAAGTAAGGTGCAGATGATAAAATTATCAAGAGAGGTCTGATGGGATAAGTTCTCAATGATAACATTTCCATATATGTGATGGGTTTGGTTCCTGCCTGGGACAGGTTTCCTTTGAGCCCTGTTAGCCCTGTTATGCTGAACCCAGAGCAAGCTCAGGAAACCTGAAGTACAGTTTTAAGGTTGAATTTATGTGGTCTTACATGTGTCAATATAAAGTAGTATTCTGTTCAAAGCAAAAACAAAACAACACCACACACATAGAATGCAAAAACCCCACAACCTCTAAACCTGGCGTGTGATTAAAATGGAAGGAAAAAGGTTAAGAGGAGATAGCAGAGAGCAGGCAGTCTCTAGTGAGGCCACTCACAGCATTGATTTCTCATCTTGAAAACTCTCATCTCAGAGTTTTTTGAAGGAAGGAGATTTGCACTGGTCTTTCTACTGCTTCTGATTTTCTGAAGTCAGTATCCACTTCTCAAAATCACCTTTAATAACCTTGATTGTCTTTCCTTGTCTCAGAATTGTAAATATTGCTCTTTCCTTACCCTATTAGGAGTGCTGCAATGAAAGCCTTAATTCATTCATGTTTGTTGAGTTGCACAAAGAGTACAGAGATGAGTGTTTCTGTAGGAATGTTTATAAAATGAAGAAAGGCTTGAAAAGTGTGGGAGCAAATGAATGTGTGTCCTTATGAGAGCAGAAGTGATGTGTGGTGGAGAAAGTCAGAACCGAGAGCTAAGACTTTCTCACTAGCTTTCATTGATCTGCTACAGAGCATTTCTTAACCTGCTGTATTTTATTTTTAAGCTAAGGAGGAACACTCACTATTCCACTCAGTGTATCAGCCATAAACAAAACTCTTCATCATTGATCATGACCGGTAGTTAATGCCCTGCTTGTTGTTAGTCATATATCCTGAAATGAAGCCAAGGCCAATTTAACTTCTTAACAAAACAGCTATTCACCGAGTGATTTATTTGAGCTATAAACTAAAACTAACAGTTTATTATTGTAACAGGTCTTTAAAAGGCCAGAATTTTTCAGCACAGCTGAACAACTGCAACAGTGTTTTGTGCCTTTCCAGAGCAGAGTAATTACTAAATACTGGCACTGAAGCCCGTTCTTTTGTGAAAAGTTTGAAAACCAGAATTTTTCAAAAGTTCCCGTAAATTTTGCTGGACTTGTTAGATAATATTGAGGTGTGTGTTTAAGTAAAATCAGTCAGATTGAGTTAGTGCTGTTGAAGCACCACATGGAACACAGCAATCCAGTGCACAGGTAATCACTATACAAGGTCCAGTATCAGAGGAATAGCAAGAATATTTCTGCTTTAGAAGTCTTTGAGGCACACATAATGTTTAGTTTAGTGAATTTGCACAATTACTTGTTGTACTTAATACATTGCATGTATTAAGTTCTATCTGTTGCTAACATTGAGTTCTGAAACCCCTGCTCTTACTCCCCACATAAAGAGGAGTGCAGTTTCACTGTGGGGTTTCAGGTCCTGTGCAGGCTCACTAAGATACCTTCACCTGTGATGTACAGGTTGAAGTAAGTGTGTTCTTCCTCTTCTAGATCCATGCTCACCAGGTGAATATTCTCCTGATGGCTTCAAACCCTGTCTGCCATGTCCCTTTGGAACGTACCAGCCTGAAGCTGGGAGAGTGTCCTGCTTTCCCTGTGGAGGAGGTCTCACAACAAGACATAGCAGTGCATCCTTGTTTCAGGACTGTGAGACTAAAGGTAAGGTCAAGATTTATCTGATGAACTGCCTTGCCCCAAGGCAAAAGTAACTGCTACTCCTACAAGTGGGGCATTCAAAGAAGGGACATGCTCTCCTTCTAGAGCTCTCATAGTTGGCTGACCTGGCCTGGCTGTGAGGAAGCTCAGTCAAGGCTCAGTTCATTTTATAACTGTTTTTTGTACAAGACTTGAGAAGGGGTTGCCAAGTACACGGAAATTGGTCAGGGAAGTCGCTGATCTGTGAAGTCATATAAAGAACAGAAGGAAAAAAAAAAGTATCAAGAAAAGAATCAAGAACAGAATGCATTAATGACTTTTTGGGTTTGAGCAAAGCAGCAACACGAAAATGTGAAGGAGGGAATTGCAGTCCTGGAGCATAAGTAAGAATACAGTTTCTTCATGTTCATCATGATAAACTGGCTTGGATGCCTTGGGATATGCCTAAAAAGCTAGTGTGCAGCTTAACCCTGCAGTACCTCAGGACAGCCCTGTAAATTTGATCATAGTGGAACTGACATGCAGCCAGGTCCCAAGGTTTTCTTAAGAGGAGTGAAAATCAGGTGGAGATCATATCTTTAAAAATCATAGAATCATAGAATCTTTTAGGTTGGAAGGGACCTCCAAGATCATCAAGTCCAACCACCAAGCCACCAGGGCTCCAAAGTCCTCTGCCAAAACAGATCAGAATCTGTCAGGGTTGGAAGGGACCACAAGGATCACCCAGTTCCAACCCCTCTGCCATGAGCAGGGACACCTCCCACTAGATCAGGCTGCCCAGAGCCTCATCCAGCCTGGCCTTAAAGACCCCCAGGGATGGGGCCTCAACCACCTGGGCAACCCATTCCAGGGTCTCACCACTCTCATGGTGAAGAACTTCTTCCTCACATCCAGCCTGAATCTGCCCACTTCCAGCTTTGCCCCATTCCCTCTAGTTCTGTTGTTACTTGAGATCCTAAAAAGTCCCTCCCCAGCTTTCTTGTAGGCCCCTCTAAGATACTGGAAGGCCACAATAAGGTCACCTCGGAGCCTTCTCTTCTCCAGACTGAACAGCCCCAACTCTCTCAGTCTGTCCTCACAGCAGAGCTGCTCCAGCCCTCGGATCATTCTCGTGGCCCTTCTCTGGACATGCTCCAGCAGCTCCACGTCCCTCTTGTCCTGGGGGCTCCAGAACTGGATGCAGTGCTCCAGGTGGGGTCTCACCAGAGCAGAGCAGAGGGGGAGAATCACCTCCCTCGACCTGCTGGCCACACTTCTCTTGATGCAGCCCAGGATCTGGTTGGCTTTCTGGGCTGCAAGTGAAGGATTTTCATTAGCATCTTCATTATCTAAAATGCAAAAAGCTGAAAGACAGCTATGAAGTTGTCTTTGAAAATGCTGATAAAAATGTGTGTCCATGGAGAGAGATGAAATGTTAGTATAATAGTTTGCTCAACGTCCTAAACCATGGGTAAAAGAACATCATTTATATCAAAATCACCTGAAGAAAAAGTGTTAATAGAAAATCTCCTGCTGTAGAGTAGAAGTAAGGGACAGAAATAAGGTCCTGATGCAAACATTTGTTAGTGAATTAGTTTGGATTAAGAGATCTCTAGTGTCAGTTAAGATATGTCTGCTGTTGAGAACTGCAACATGACAAAAGAATTTTGCAATATGGTTGAAGAATGAATATTACTGGTAATAATGTGATAGCTAAGAGTTTTTTCTTCAGTGAAGAATCACCGAATCCACAGTTGCTGTTGATTCATACTTAATTTTGTAAAATTAAAGCTCTAAAAAACATGGTTAAAAACCTTGGATCAAGATAAGAGGAACTGATTTCAGTTTTACCATAAACAAAAACAGGTTCAGTTTTCAAATTGGAGCAGAGATTAAAGAAGTTTTTTGTATTAACTGGAATGTAGAGCTGAGTGATTTGCATATGGAAGAGGCCACATGAGACACAGAATCACAGATGCAAGAACTATTTGGAACTTGTATCTGCAGCATTTGGATTGGGGGGTGGAACACATAGGGAAGGACTCCAGGCTGAGCTAGTTTACAAAGCTCAACAAGACTAGAGTTATCTGGGAGTAAGTAGAACTTAAAAGGAACAGAAAGAAAAGGACTGTGCAGCACAGAAAGCTACATTTGAAAGGCAAGGTAGTAAATCATATTCATGTTGAGCTGAAAGAGGTGAACTTGCCAAATGAGGTAAAAGGAATAGGAAAAAGTTTTAATTTTTTGTCCCACAAAGGGCAAGGAAAAAGAAGCAAAGTGGTGATTGAGTTAAAAGCAGAAATAGTATGTGGCTGATGCTCTGGATTGCCTTCTGTCAGGTTCTTGTGCAGATGATGATAGCCATGGATGCAGATTAGCTAAGCAAAATCAAAAGAAAACAAGCATGTTAGAGATGTAAACAAAGGTGCTTGGGGTCCTGTATTCTCAGATTGCAATGAGATAAGAAAATCTTTCTGTCTGCATGCAGGGAACTAGAAAAAAGTTGCAATTCTAGAAGGGATTCTTCCCCTATGTTTGTCTATCTTCTGTCTAAGACTTCCATGAAATCTGTTTATGAAAGAGTTTTCTGTGTGTCAGAATAGGGTCTCACTCCTGTGAGGGCTGTAACTCACACGTCTAGCTTACATGATGTGATGAAGTATCAGCAGATCTGGTGGAGGTGGCTGTACCCTGAGTCTTGGCATGTTGTGAGATGTGTCCCCAGGAGTGGAGGCAGCGCTACGCCAGTACGGTCACTAATGCTGATGCAATGCTCTGCTTGTGGAGGACCAAGGTCTTCCAGCTCTGCTTGTGGTGAGCTGATCAGAGGTACACTAGGGTGCAGCAGCAGTGCACATGCTGCATGGCTTATCTGGCAGGAAAGTAAGGTGTAGTTAGTGCTTCCAGGTATGGTTCATCTTCCAAGTCAAATGTCAGTAGCTAGACAATTTGGTAACACACTGTTGTAGTTGGTGCCCTGCTTACAAAATCATAGTGGTTATACTCACTCCTCCATATCTTTTATTACTGCTTCTACACAGAACTGGCCTATAGTGTTGCATTTGGGACTTTTGAGCTTGCAGAAAGTGAAATGATAAACTAAAATTTCTTAAATTACCTCTACTTTATTAACGTCAGTTTATGAATATGACATTTCAGTTATTGAAATTACATTAGATCCTATAAAATTGCATTCAGTCATATTCTCATGTGCTACTACTATTTTAACCTTGCTGCATATTTAATTACTCTACAGTTCAGTGTTCACCTGGCCATTTTTATAATACCACAACTCATCGATGTATTCGCTGCGCAGTTGGGACATACCAGCCCGAGTTTGGACAAAATTACTGTATTTCATGCCCTGGAAACACCACTACTGATTTTGATGGGTCAACAAATATAACACAGTGCAAAAGTAAGTATAGCAAGATGGTTCTGATGATGTCTTAAAATAAAAAGGTGGAGCCATTAATATTCAGAGGGGCACTACAGGCAAAATTTAGCTTTGCTTTGATGAGCTTGGAGAGAAGGCAGTGGTGTTGGTCCTCTTTTGCTGCTTGCATTTCGTCCCACGTGGCTTACTGAGGTCCGTGAGAGACCATTTCTGCAGGCTGGTTCCATCGTTCTTTTTAAGGTAGGTGATTGTGTCTTGCTGGTTGATGCTGAGTCACTCTAGGTCTTGCTATTAAATCTTCTGTCCCACGGTATAGCAGAGAGTTTGTGTTCTCAGAACCCTGATTTCTTTCCATTCTGTGCTGCTGCAGGCCTGGTGCCTGAGCAGAGCACCTCAGGCTCCAGTTACACTTCAGCTGATAGTTCTAAAAAAATGTACTGTCTGGTACAAGCAAGTGGAGCAGCTTTGCTTTCCCCTAGAAACCTGTCCTCTTGCAGCTGCCCTGACAGTGGCTGTAGCGGGAGCTGCGGGGAGGCCTCGCTTGGCCGGCTCTTGCATACTGTGTTGCTTTTTCAGACAGACAGTGTGGAGGTGAACTGGGAGATTACACTGGATATATTGAATCACCCAACTATCCTGGGGACTATCCTGCAAATGCTGAGTGCACTTGGAGTATTAACCCCCCACCAAAGCGCCGCATTCTTATTGTGGTTCCAGAAATATTTCTGCCAATAGAAGATGAGTGCGGAGATTACCTGGTGATGCGAAAAAGCTGTAAGTCTGAATATCTACTGAGGCACGTGTGGTGTCTATCTCAGTTTGCAATGCAAGTTTCTCACATGCATTGCTCTTTACAGAAAATAAACGTAGCCTGGCTGGCCTCTGCCTCAGAGCAGAAATTCCTTTAAATGACAAATTGAGAAATTGTTTGGTAATGCTGCTCCATAGGTTCAGGTAAAACAAGGGTGTAAGGCTACAATGTGTCAGTGAACTCATAGAAATACTGTTAAGAAGAGGTAGATGGTTCAAGCTAACTAGCCATGAATTATGCTAAGCAAGTCTGCCTTGGCTTAGGAAAGAGGAGATGCTTGTAAGTCCCTACACATGCCTGATACATGAATAAAAAGCATCAGTTTCTAGAATAGGCACATCCTTCAAAGAATAGAATCTTTTTTTTTTTAGGAAAAGAGAAAAAATATTCATTGACCAAGAAGTCACTCATCAATGGACTGCCATCCACTGATGGCCTGCAACATTTTGAGAAGTTTTCTTAACACCAGCAAGCATTTCTTGTCATGGTGGTTTAACCTATTTTCTAATTGTTCATTAGTATGAAGCATTGTCAGATAACTACCTGTTATGTGTTTTCTTTGAAAGCTTCTTCCAACTCAGTGACCACGTATGAAACCTGTCAAACCTATGAGCGCCCTATAGCTTTCACTTCCAGATCTAAGAAGTTGTGGATCCAGTTCAAGTCAAATGAAGGGAACAGTGCCAAAGGATTCCAAGTTCCTTATGTAACGTATGATGGTAAGTGGATGTGAGCAGCTGAGCCCGTGTGAACTGCTGCAGCTGCAGCAGTGCAGAACTCCTTGTGGGCTCCTTGGCCCTGCTAAGCAGCCGTGCCGCTGTCAGACTACTGCCAGTAGCTGTTTTCATTCAAAGCTAGTTTACAGAGTTCTGCATTGCATTAGAGTCTTAAGTGCCACTGTAATTCCAGTCTTCCACAGACCTAAATGAAGAGCTGCAGTTCTGGGCTCTGACCTGAAAAATGCAGAGTTCAGAGCCAGAATGTGTGATTTATGCATTTTTGTGCTTTCCCTGTTCTGTGTTGCTTCAGGTGGCAGCAGAGTGCCCCCAGTTAGGAACCAGGCATAGCCCAAGTGCCTCTGATTTATCGTGTTGCTGCTACCATCTGTAATCCAATACTGGACAGCAAAATGTCTGTATTGAAAGGGAGCTTGAGTGGTGAGAGTTGTCACCAGGAGTGAAACTGGAGCTGAAGCTGTGCACTTCAGCATATGTTATCTGAAAATGACATGGCCCATTTCTGAAGGAGTTGTCCTGGCTGTGATCTAGAGTTTCATCAACAGTGGATAATTACTATTTCAGGGGAGACCTCTCCTTTTGAAGCATTTCAAGTGTTGATTGACTAGGGAGCTTGCTTTCAGAGAAAGCTTCCTCTTACCTTTTGTTTTTCCTTCTTCCTGTAGGAAGTAGTTAGTAACAGGCTGGGGGTATGTACAGATAAGTTTCTGCAGTGCAGTTGGTTTGAAGCAGGCTACATGGTTACAGTATGCACTACAATCCTAGGTGCATTATGGTTTCTTTTGCTTTTGACATATCGACGCTGAGCAGCTGAGCAGAGTACCCTGTTTTCATTGTAAACAGTGTTTGTAGTTCCTTTACAGAAGAGCATTTGGAAAATACAGTGACTTGTAATAGGAGGGCTAAGTACTACTTTTTGGGGCAGAGCTTACATGTGTAACCAGGAGAGGTATTGAGTATGTAAGTGAAGTGAACCTGCAAGTTACTCTCTCATGCCTTCCCCACAGAGGATTACCAAGAACTAATAGAAGACATTGTTCGAGATGGCAGACTTTATGCATCTGAAAATCATCAAGAAATACTTAAGGTATGTTCCTTCCACTATATGTGTTAGTTTTGATTGACACTATTTTGTGCCAGTGAGGTTGCCTCCTGCTCTGCATCAGGTGTTCCTTGGTGCACTAGATGCATGCTGCTTCAGGGAGGTGGAACATAGAATCATAGAATCCTTTAGGTTGGAAGGGACCTTCAAGATCATCAAGTCCAACCATTGAGCCATTAAGGCTCTAAAGTCCTCTGCTAAAACAGATCAGAATCTGTCAGGGTTGGAAGGGACCACAAGGATCCCCCAGTTCCAACCCCTCTGCCATGAGCAGGGACACCTCCCACTAGATCAGGCTGCCCAGAGCCTCATCCAGCCTGGCCATAAAGACCCCCAGGGGTGGGTCAAGGGGCACACCCTGACTGTGCAGAGCAAAGGATATGAGACCCTTTGCCCAGGGGGATTAAAGGTGGATCAGACCTACTAGGGAATGTCAGCCTCGCTCCACTAGTTTCTGAGGCCCTGAAACATTAGCTCTTGAAAACTAAAATACCCATATTCTTTTATGAGTTAATCAGTCATTAGGCTTTGGTAATACTAACTCTATCTCCTCTGTGGAATTACTGTAAAATCTGTTTTCTTTTTTCTAGGACAAGAAACTGATAAAAGCATTGTTTGATGTACTGGCGCATCCACAGAACTACTTCAAGTACACAGCCCAAGAGTCAAGAGAGATGTTCCCAAGGTCCTTCATTAGGCTGCTGCGCTCTAAAGTTTCCAGATTCTTGAGGCCTTACAAATAGTTGGCACTGTACTTAAAGCTAACCAGCCCCTGGTCATGTACAAAGGGGTTGTAGTAGGTGCAGCTGCTTTCTGTGTTTTACAGACTGGCAGAGAAACTCGGTGGAAGCTTGCCAGCTCCGCTCTTGGCAGAGCTGGGCTTTCTCAGCTAACATAAATATTTTGGTGAACAAAATTTTGACTCCTTTCCAGAAAATATCTTTTGGGTACCAAGGATATTTCATGGGTCTCTGACTTAGAAACTGTCCATAATGTCTGTAACTGAATGGTGCCAAGCAGAAGTTTGTAAAGCTCTGCCCTGTTCCTTCATCAGTAACTCTAGAAGCTAATGAGGACAGAGAGGCTAAGCAGTGTGGTTTGGGATGAACTCTAAGCTGCCATTAATCCATGTTACCTCAACAAATCTGGGTTCTTTTTTGATCTTGCTGAAAGTGAAAACAAGGTTGATATCTCTTTTAACTTTTGCTACATGGGAAATTCAGAGCTAAGATTGAAATAGTTTTAGTACAAGCCAGTGAGTCCAAGAATTGCACAAGATGTGATTTTTCTCTGAACTATAAGTTGTATGAGGCATATGGAGGAAAAAGCAAAGGGTTTAATATTAGCTTGAATGCTCTGGGTCTGGATCACACCGTGTTCATGTTAATGACCCCTTGGTTTAAATGGAGTGATACCAGAAAAAAAACAGGACACCACAGTAATGGAAAACAGACCCTGACCCACTGGGCACTTGCATTTTGGGGGGGCTGCAAATCTTACAGCAGAACAGATTCTTTGCTAAATCCCAGGGTTCTCCCTGGGACAGCCTGAGGCATTGGCTCTTCCAGGTAGTATAAAGTCTGAGCACCTGCAGTTGAATGCATAAGCCCCATTTTAAGTGCAAGCTTTGCATAGATTATGCTCTTGTACATCACTGTTTAAACCTATATAAGGTTCTTACAGGAGCACCTATATAAGGTTCTTATAGAAGCCTCTATCCTTATATTCCTTATCTTGCCTGAGCACCTTGCAATGATGTTGTTGAGCAGAGAAGGGCTGCTTTCCCTGTCTTGCTGGAGAGAAGCTGATGCACAGACCACAACCAGACTGTGGCTGCAAAAGCTGTCTGTTGCAAAATGTTGTTCAAGATTCCCAAACTCCATGTCCTTTTCCTCAGGTTGTGTTTTGTGTGTGAGAGAAAGCTAGTTTGAAAGGGCCTGCGGGGAGCACTGTTGATCAAAATGTCTCAGTGCTTTTCTGCCTACGCTTACATCACCTAACTGTCCTCTGGCCATGGAAACCATTTCCTCAGTGTAATGTACCTTTTGGGCCTTTCGCCTTGAAGGGGCATGGCCACAGTCCTGCTCCTTTGGAGATGGACTTAAAGACTCTGTCTTCGGGTCACCGCCAGTGCTGTGTGGTGCAGCTGGCACCAGACTTCCTCCATCTGCCCCCTTAGGAGAGGCACTGAAATTTCACAGTGTAGCCAGGACAAATGCTCTCTTTCCTAGGGTGTGGAGTTGGATCTCCCTGGCTTTCATTGCCATTGCTATGCGGTATTTAACTGTTATATGTGAATAACTCCACGTGCACAGCATGGCAGATTAAACCCCCGTCAAGAGCCACGGTCTGAATCTCTCCCCTGCCCTGCTGGGAGCCAAGGAGCGCTGCTGGGTGCAGCCCTGTGCTCTGCCGTGCCATGGCAGCCCTGCTGTGTGCCACTGGGGCACCACAGCCTCTTGTGGTACGGACACCCCCTTGTCGTGGTGTAATGGGAAGGGGCAGTGGCCCACAGCCTCTCAGGGTGGGGTGATTTGATGCTGTATTCCTCTTGCTACTGCCCTGAAATAATTACCATGGTCTGGGCAGAGGAGGGAAATGGATTCTGTTGCTGCCAAGGGGAAGAACTGTGTGCTACCTGGCTGCACTGGGGCTTCTGCTCCAGCTCAAGAGCTGCTGGCATCTTTCTGTGGCAGGGTGGTGAGAGCCTGTTCTAGGAGCAGGGCTCCCAGGTCTGCAGCAAAGGGGAGCAGACAGGCTTGGAGGGGAGGAGAGAGGCAGGGCGTGAATTAGCAGAGCAGAGGGGAAGGATCCCATGTCCTTGTGCATCCCTGCCTGGTGTGCTTCATCCTGAACAGGGTCCCTGCTGCCTTTCTGGGGAGGGAGGACAGGGGGTATCAGGAAGAAGGTATGAGGCCGTGTGATGGGTGAAGGGAAAGGCTAAGGGATGCCAAAACAAGAGGAAGGGTGGTGAGAAAGGCTTGCTGTGTCTGTGGTGTACTGTTTGTGGTGAGATTCCAGGAAGATACTTCAAGATTGTTTCCCTCTGGTTGCACATCCCCTGCCTCTCTACTGTTGATGGCTTCCCACACCAGACGCAGTGGGTCAGAGGGGTGCAATGACCCACCATCTCCACGGGGCAGTGGAACACTTTGAAATGGGTGAGATGCTGCAGTTCTGCTCCAAGTGCCTGGGTGAGCTAGAGGCATGCTGGTGGGGCATGGAAGGGAGAGGACCATGGTGTGCCAGCTCCTGGGCCAAGCCCAGCAGAGTGGCTTTGCTACCGTGTGCGTGCTCTCTGCTGAGGGAAGCAGGCCAGTTCTTGCTGTGTTCCCTCCCAGGAGGGCTCCGGATCTGAGCATTTGTTTGGCCTTGCTGAGCGACACACAAATCAGAGCGATTGGTTTCAACAAGCGTTCAAGAAAACAAAAGTTGTGAAACATCCAAATATTTTTAACTGGTGAATTTGGGCTTTCTTGCTCTGTGCATGAGTCGCTGACAGGAGCTCCGGGTTTGTTGCACTGCACCTCCTCTGGTAGGCAGGCTGCTCGAGGTCCCTCCTGGGGCCAGCGCCTCGCCCCGGGCGTGGGGTGGATCTCAGCTTTGCCCCTCTGCTGCCCCGGCGTGCAGAGGCCCTTTCACTGTGTCTGTGCGAGGGTGGAGTGTGCCAGGGTGCCGTATGGACCGAAACTGAGGGGAGAAACTGCCCTGTCTTGAAGAAGAATCCTTTTTGTTCCACAGCCATCTTCATTTTCTGCATAACAAGAAAATGACTCAAAAGCACTACGGTTAGCCTTCATCTTACGTTAATCAGCATTTCCCCTTTTACTGTAGATCCTGTGTGGATAGGAAATTTTTGCCATCTTAATTATTGGGAGAAGTGATAACTGCTGCAGAATGTTGTAACACTTGGCATTGTATCTCCATAGCAATGGTAGTGGCTCTGTAGAAATTTTATTTTCTACTTTATGTGGTTGTAGACTGTTTTGTTTTTTTTTTTTCAACAAATAATTCAAAAAGTGTTTAACCTTATACAACAGGATTTAACTTTTGAGATATAATTAGCATTAACTGGATGACTGGTATCACCTACATGAGAAAAGCATAAGGATCTTTTTCATAATTGTAAATTAATGTAAAATGTGCCAGACAGTTACTTTTAATAAGAAAAATAAACCAGTGAACTTTTAGTTGCATGAAAACCTTGGGTAATATTTTTAATTGTCTTTGCTATGCTACATAATATTTTTGTGGTTATTAATGGTTATGTAGCAAGTTATTGCACATCAGACTTTATCCTGGGAACATCTGTTACCATAGCATTCTGCTTCATATAATGTATTATTATCCTTCATCTATACCCATAAAGATACAATTCTTCATTCTCCTATTTAGTGGTGCACATATTTCTGGCTCATATAATACCAGAATTATCCTGGTATTAATTCTAATAATTATGCCAGAAAAGTCTCCTATATGATAGTCAGTTGGCCTGTTGTAGCCAGCTGTATGAAGACAGAATAAACTATCCACAATGTACATTCTGCTGTTACTGTGAGACACCCATGAGCAGTGGTGCAAATATAGCACCTGTGGGGAAAGCAGAAGAGTTATTCAAGGGACAGACTGCACTCTCAGAAGGTGAGTTCATCTAGTTTCTCTCCAAGTCAGTGCCAATTATTTATGACTTTCTGCATGTTGCTCTTTTAAACTACCTTATTAAACTTTGAGTGTTAAAAAAAGGAAAAAAGAAAAAAAATCTCTTTAAATACATGTTAGTGCAGCTGTTGCTCTGATTAAATTTTGAAGAGAAAGTTTTTGAAGTCTGTGAAGTAAAGCTTATTTAGTACACAATGGAAAAAATGACAGAAAATATTATCTTGATTTGTTTTTCTGTACTGAACATGTCTCTAAATACAGAATTCATTAAGGAAGCTCCTTCACTCTGGCTAGCTGCTAAACTTGATGTAACACACCTGAAGCCTACGTTTTTCACTGCCCAAGGGTCCCCCCGCCTTGTCCTGTTTGGGGGCAGCCACCTGCAGCACACTGACCAGGGGCTTTGCCTCTGATGGCAGCTGCCCTGGGGTGACCCAGGGGACCCTGCAGCAGCACGAGCAGGGCTGGCTGCTCTGGAAGGGCTCCCCCGGGCCCTGGGCGTGGTGCAGGATGTGTGTGCCAGCTGTGGGCAGGGCCCAGTGTCTGCAAAGGGGCGAAGAGGAAGTCTCTGAAGCTGGGAGCCTTCGAGGTGTGCAGGGCAGGCAGCACAGGGCTAGGGCAACATGGAGCACCTGAGGCTGGCATGCTGGCCACTGCGGTGTTGGCAGCCCTTGGAGCTGCTGTAGGACCTGCAAGGCTGGGCATGTGTTATTTGCATTTTTCTGTGTGCATCTTCAAAAATACCCAGTGGAGCCACGATTTCTGCTGAGAACCTTCTGAAGTAAGGTCATGTTAGAAAGCAGTTACTGAGGGCTGGGTGAACTTACATGACTTCACAATTTAACAGGTCATGATTTTCCTGGGGTTTAATATGGAAATCAAGAAAGCATGCCAGAAAACTGGGAATTCAGCATCTCTGTGTCCAGCAGACAAGCCTGCCTGTGACACCACCCTACTTGTGAATTTAGGTGGCCCCCGGTTTGCTGTCACTGATGTAGTGCTGCTGTGAGGAGCTGTGTGGAAAAGTTGGGAGGAACCAGTTATTAAAAAGAGGACTGGCAGAAAAGTGCTCAGGTGGCCCATCTGGCTTACACAGCGTAACTACTGCACCCCAGCTCCCGTCGGTGCTAATTCTCTCAGCAAACTTACAGAAATAAAACCCTGAAAAGGCTCATCCATGCTGAGAACAGCAGCTTCATTCAGTGGAAGAAGAAAGCTTAGCTCTAGGAACTGAATGCTTAACACTGCAGGCATTGCTGTCTTCCTCAGCTAGTCCAGAAAGCCCCCAGCCAGTGCCTACGGTGTGAGACGGACGCAGCAGTGCTGAAATGAGCACAGTACAAATACCTGTCCCAGCTCTGCACGAGATGTGTCCAACTTGACCTCATTTGCTTTTGGAGTGGGCAGGAAAGCCCATAGCTCTCCATGCCAGCAGGATGTGTTTCCATATGCACTAATGGAGAAGTAAAACCTGATGCAGAAAATGGTCTGGCTTAGGGGTGCTGTGGGCAGCACATGCTCTGACACACCATCATGTAGGGTGCTGGAGCCTCATCCCTCCCTCAGATACCTCTCA